AACGTTTCTTCTTGATGATACACAATTACGTACTGTTATATACGTATGTATAGTACGTACGTACGTACATAAATGCCAAATTCCATAGTAAAGTTTTAAATCTGCGGAAAAATGCATTAATTGTGTTACCTGCTGATCCTTTACTTCTTTGTTATAAAAATTTAAATACGTAATTTGTATTACATAATCATGTATGTACTGTACGTTTGATATTTATTAAGTCTTAAAACATTACGATTATTGACGAAACTGTTATTCTTTAAAGCATTAAAATTATAATAAATAATCTTTTGAAGAGAAAATATTTGTCTTCGGAATATAGTTAATCCGTAAATAATTATACTAGTGTACCAATAGTTTAGTCAAGGTTTTCATACATTCGTAATTGATTCATGGAGTTTAAATACCGAATTACGTATAAATATGTAACTATGTTTAGGTCATCACATGATGTACATAATATGAAATTTCTGACTAAGGAATTTTTCTATCATCCCTCTAACTTTAAATGTTCTAATCGATCTTTATCTATTTACTTTGCTAAAAATATTTGTCCCATTTTTGGTTAGTATAAGAAATAATCAGATCCTTTACCTACTATATATTCGCCTTATCTTTCGACCGATTATTACCTATTTGGAATATAAATTCAGCGAATGATATTCACATACCATAAAATGTTAATTAACTTAAAATACTGGAAATACCAATAGAATGAATCAATTGTTAAAAAAAAAACTATTATGAAAAAAGCGACCTTATATTACTATTTAAGATATTTGGTTGAATAAAAGTATCAAATGATCTAAAAGAATGTCAACCACATGATCAGCCATAATTCCAAGTGAAATGAACTAGAGAATCTTGAGTAAACTGGAACAGATCACAAGTTACTTCTTTTTTTAGCCCTCTCCCATCAAAATAATATATTATTTTTTCGAAATGATTTATAAACAGATAAAATCATCCAATCATAAATATATCATAATAAAATCTAGTTTTACTAGATTTATATAAGATCAGCGCCGGTAAATTCATACGTATTATTTAGCTTCAGATTATCCGATTATCAGATAATTTATCGTCAATTGTTTATATGTAAATAAATTTACCCAAGTCCAAATATATAATCTTAACCAAAATCTTCTTTTTTATCATAATACCCACGTGTAATGTTTGTGCTGTTATATTGGTTATACAAAAAATGTTCTATAAATTTATCTCATTTAGCTTTTGTTGTACTTTTCATATCGATATATGATAAATAAAAATGTGATTACGAAAATTAAGAACAAAAAAATTCAAAACATTTCGATATTATTATTTACATACGTAAAATAGGAAAAGTTTTTTATATTACATATCAGATATAATTGTGATACGTTACATTTTGACCATAACGCAAATTTATCTAGATTATCTGTCTCTGTTAGTCATGGATAAATATTGATAAAATGCTGTTACAATTAGTTTAATTAAGGATAAATATTAATAGATGTTATTTATTAGAAACTAATAGGGTCAAAAAAGCGAACCATTTTAATACATGAAATACAAGGAATCATTTCAGAATATCCTCGAAAAATTAACAATTATGCACAAATCAGAATCGTTGTTTTTATAATTAATAATATATCATACGTATTTCTTAGAAGTTAGTCAAAATTAAATTAGATCTTAGTTTATACGTACTAAATTTTGTAGGAGCGTATAAGGTAATTTCACATACAAGATCTATGATCTGATTGGTACATATTTGTCGATCTTCGAGGTAATTGGACAATTTTTTTCTGAATAAATAACAGTAATTTGGATCAATTGGAAAAATTACTATTGTGAGACGTAAAAGTAACTCCGGAAACACGTGAGGGTCGGAGGTCAATGTGCCGCAGTATCTACTGTCACGTGGGGAAATTGAGCTCATTTGACTAAGCCGCAGTACAATTTTACGGCTAAGTCGATCCTTGACTTTTATAGGGATCCCGCGCTTTAAAGAGCGATATTGTTTAATAGCTTTAAAATGATTAAAGCATGATTTTTCTTATAAGGATTTTATGATATTTAAAGCTTATCGAGTCTTTAAGCAGTTTATGAATTTTAAGAGATTTAATGATTTTAAGATGTTTATTATTTTTAATAATTATAGATATTTTATGATAAACAGTATTTTGCAATAGAAAAAAAACAAGATGAAATTTGATAAAATTATAACAGAAGATATGGGAGTGAGTCAATAAAAACGCACCATATTTTTTTTAAGTAAATTTTTTTAAAACTTTAAACAAAAATAACTTGGCAAAGATTTAACCAAATTTAATAATTTTTTTTTTATATAATGTACTAAGATAGCTTATCAAATAAGGTGTTTATATTTGGCAAAAGGAATTTCAGAGCTTCAGTTATTGTTGGTATTACGTTATTTCTTTATTCTCACAAAGGTTCATTGAGATTCTTAACTTTCTTAATCTACTTATTCTCTTTCTTAGGATAATCAATAATAGATTCTCAGCAAGTTCTCTTTTTTATTCAAGAACTTAACAATTCAGATTTACTCTTTACTACAGAGTAACATTATACACAAGAAGTAATTTATTACTTTAGTGAAGACGAGTTTGGTATTATTAGCAATTTAATATGTAAAAGGAAGGTTTAGACAATTTATTTATGTGCAAGATATTTTATCAGCAGTGTGATATTTTATGAGCAAAAGAATTTATCAACTATGCAATATTTTTTATTGAAAAGCAAAAATACCTGTTTATACGTATAACATATTTGAATAATAGGTTTGCCAATAAGTCTTTTAATGCTTATCTCTTTTAAAAAACTTATCACTTCTTTAATACATAAAATGTTTATAATTATTAAAATTAATAAATCTCTTAAAATTTTTATAAGAGAGATCATGCTTTAATCACTTTAAAGCGATTAAAGCATTAAAGCAATACGTATCGCTCTTTAAAGCACGGGATCTCTAAAATTGGCAGGGATCTACTTAGCCGTGAAATTGAGATGCGGCTAAGTTATGTAGGTCCGGAAAGTAAATCAGGAACCCAATTTTCCCACGTGACACTATATTCAAAAATTATCATAACACGAGTCAGGCCCTATCCGGCTTGACACGTGATCTACATTGGCCGGCACGCAGGCCATGCATGACCCGTTTGAAACTATTCTATAAAAAGATAGTGTCCATCACATGAGCTAGCGATAGACAAATTTTCATTATAAATAAAAATTGTGCAAGTTCCATAATTAGTTTTCGTTCGTATTACAATAATTTTTGTAAGTACCATTTTTTTTTCATTTGATTTATATGGGCTTACTTTTCTTCTCTTATTTAAATTTACAAGAATTTAAATTCTTTTTGCCATGAATTTTGTAGAACTCAAGCCACCGATAGGTACAAACCTAATACGGTACATGCTAGAACCATTTACATTAACATTATTTATAAAAATAGACAAATGTATTACACAAAGTTTACCTTTACCTACGGACTTGCCAAGTCAGGATTTACAAAAACAATTATGTACTATAGTTCCTACAGTATTAACTGCTCAAATTTGGACCAATTCTATTGATAAATATTCTCCTGAGGGAAAATGGCATGAATTAGATATGAAAGTAAATATTATTTCTTTTGATGAAGAAAAAAGTTCCCGGGATTTAGAGGCATTTACCACTGCCCAATTTTGGATTATTCAATTTCAAGGCACTATATTGCCAACTGCTACTGGTAGTTTTGGCTATACGGTTCGCTGGAAGAACCAGGATAATGATTGGAATTGGGCGACTCGATATGGACAGCATGGGTCATTTAGTGTTGTGCCTCCTTTGCCTGAAAGTCCATGGACGCATGGCCCTCGAGCTGTTGAAATAGAACCAGATTTATATATAGGAAACTACATTGCGGCAAGTAGAGCAAAAAAAAGTGGATTCCAAGCTGTTTTAACGGTAGCAAAAGAACTTGAACTACCTCCAGAAACTTTAGAAGGTATCGAATATTTAAAAGTTCCTATGAAAGATGGTGCAAATAATAGAGTAGCAGACCGTGATATTAGTACCTGCGTGAAATGGATTCAATTACAACTAGACAACAAACGGAAAACTCTTGTTCACTGTAGGGCAGGAATGGGTCGTTCGGGATCTATAGGAATTGCATACATCTATTATTATCATCCAAATTTTTCTTATAGACAAGCCTTACAATATGCTTGGTCAAAGAAACCCGACATATATCCACATGTTGGATTACAACAGTCTTTGGAAAGGTTATATCCAAGGCTTTAAACCATATCATTGTTTTTTGATATCATTAATTCTTTAGGTCTTAACTTGTATAAAGTTCTAAATGCTATACATTAATTTTTTGGAAATTATTCTTGAGATTGTATATATGCGATTATAGATATATAATTTCAGGTTGTCAGTTTGAAAAAACCTATTCCTATTCTATAAGTAGTCAAATTTTAATTCCTAATAATATTATTCAGGTCTTTATTTGCAATTTTTCTTTATCTAATAATAAAGACACTGAAATTTATTTATTTTTTAAACGTAGATTAAATACTTGTATATCAAGCATAGACCAAATGAATTACGTGTTTTATTTAATTATAAGATACAGAATTGCTAAACTAAAAAGAAAGTATTCATCCTTTTATCAATCTTTTTTAAATTAACCTTATGAGAAATTAGAAACTATAATGTGTCTGTAAACAAACCTGGTCGGTCAATAAGGGTTATCGGTGAGTGTTATGTTATTAATAACCCAAATATATAAATACAAAGAATAGAAATATTTACCGTGAATCGGTTTAAAACATTCTTTGTATTATCTATTACAGGTTGAATAAATTTAAACTAATGAAATATCAGGATTTAATAACTGTGATATGTATCTGACTTTTCACTAGAAAAGTCTTTTAACTTATATATAAAAACAACAATTTGCTAAATTATCAAGATGTAAAAAAAAAAAAACGCTATAGTAAATAAAGGTATTAAACGATATAAACGCACTAGTGTAATAAGATTTGAAAAAATTATTTTAAGAACTACTTGATTATAATGTAGTGTTATATTATTTATATTTTGTATAAAGTCTAACCAGAATTTAATTTGACTAAGTCGATAGCGCTATACAAAACATACAGTCAGACTCTCTATGTGTACTCAATCCAAACGTACACGCAATATATAAAAAACCTCTCAAAATGTTTGTCTCTGCTTGATGTACCTTGGTTAGTTTTTTTGATGCAGTTAATAGTTTTATTTATATATAGATATCTTATGCAATATGTAGATCTATATGTAAAGGTACATGGCTTTAGACCCCTAAAGGGAGGGACAGAAATCAGGTGATTTCAATTTACTATAGAGCTCCTCCCCCACCTGACTGATATATTACAATATATTCCACGGCCCTATATGTTCACCCATGAACATTTCTGATGATATTTTTATGATGATGTAATGCCGTGAAAATATCATTATTCCACGGGCATGACATCATCAGTAAAAATTATAGGTGCAGAAATATGGCCGTGTCATAACTGATCATAACGTAAATTTGACGTAACTTTATGACATGACAATGCGTCTAAAAGTTATAATCGACATTTGCCGTAAAATCTGAATCATACTGTAACATTTGACATGTACTGTAACATTTGACGTGTACCGTAACATTTGACGTGTACCATAATATTTGACATGCCAATAATATTTGACTTGTGTCTTAACATTGATATTTGCTGCAATATTTGTATTACCCATTACAATATACACAAAATTCAATTACGGATGTGAAACATTGCCAAAGTCAAGAACAGAAATTTGGATCAAAACTTTTTTCAAAAAATTTGTTACAGCTTGAAGAAAATTATTATTCTTGAGCAATAAAAAGATTTTAAGATATGAACAACTTAGTGAGTTAAGAGTTTAAGTGCAATAGTAATATCATATTTTCATATGCATCTGCTGTATTGCTTTGCACGTAGTACTAAATTTTTATTACCTATTTCTTTAATATTGATTTGAATGTATATTATATTTTAATTGCATACTGTAAGTTTTTGAGCAAAAATAGTTCATTTATGTGTATACATCATGCAATAAACCTAAGGTTTAGAACCAATTGTTCAAAACCAATTTGACAACTAGAATCCTAATACTATCGTTACTATTACTTGCTAAGTATTGTTTAGAATCTGAATTAATTTATTAGACATAATAAAAATTTGAAATAATTATTTAAATACCTAATATCTAATTCATTATTTAATATAATATCAACAAAGCATTCTGGATCAAAGTCTAAATTAGTTTCTTCAACAGTATTGTTTGAAATAATCAAAACTTCAGACAGTATAGTATCTCTTTCTTGGAAAATTGGATCTCTTAGATTTATGATATCCTCCAAAATTAAAGTAGTTCGAATTGATGAATTTTGATCAATATCATATGTATTATTATCATCATTTTCTTCTTCCTTACCTACAATAAAATTATTTATTGATATAAGATTTGTTATTTCATACAATTTAGTTTCAGTTAACTTAGCTTCAAAATGAATAAGTTTATTCTGTATATTATTCATGCAATATGATCTAATTTTTGCTAATGCTTTAAGTTTGTTAATATCAAGATGTGTATGTTTGTCTCCAATAAACTATTTTAAAATTGAAAAATTTCTTTCACAATTGGCTTGAGATAGTAAAAC